AATTAGATGAATAATAGAGTAAATTCAAGGTAATGTAAATAAATAGAATAATTTAATTAGAGATTTAATGATTGTGAGGAATGTAATTGGAGGTATTATTAGTTAAAGAAATGGCTCACGTGAAGATTAGGCACCCTAGATTATTTTGACCTTATGATTAACCATCCTAATGCTCTCTTAATCTAACCTAACTTAACCTAAACAATCTACCCTAACTTAACTTAATGCTCCCTAGGTAACGGGTGGGGGCTAATCAGGTGCCCCCCACCCCTCCCAAAAAATGGCAAGTTTAGGAAGAATGGAATGTGAGGCTGAGAAGGTGTGAAAAGTGAACACCGTCTTACTTTTTTTCATCGTATGTTTAAAGGTCATCTCTGCGAACTGCACAAGGTTATAAGCTCAGAAAGGAGAGTAGATGTGATATTTTTAGGCTGACTGGTGGCTATGTGGTGAAAGCCTAATTAACAAGATGTTATGGAAGTTTCAGTGTAATTATGCCTCCTAATTCTATCTAGTAGTAGTAGTAGTAGTAGTAGTAGCAGTAGAATGACTGGAGAAGTGTGGCTATTAGGGGAGGCTGGAGGGCACGTTAAAAAAAGTAATAGTAGTAGTAGTAGTCAACGTTATCAAAAATTAATCCCAAGGCTTCTAACATTCCTTCCCTACCCAATACCTCTCGCCTTCCCAGATCACGATAACACGTACACACCTTCGTCTCACCACCTTCTGCTTGTAACCTGGTTTAGCCATTGGCCAGATACTGGTATAGGCCTTTTTTTATGGCAAAGAGAAATTGAACTAGAGTGATTTCGAATACCTCAACAACTTAGGAAATAGATCAAATGCTAAGCGTCAAGGTGAGGGAGACGCCCCCCATGCGCCTTACCTTGTGTTGACTGCTCCACCTTGTTACTGGGCGTTACTGTGTGTGTGTGTGTGTAGGTGTGGGGGAAGTACTCATATGTACATCAACGAGAGAGAGATCAAAACCCTAATTGTGTATTTCGATGAACAAGACTAGGAAAAAAACAACTAAAGCAATCTTCCCTATAAGGGTATCAAGAATTTGCCCCAGAGGGAAGGAAAGGTCACTCTCCCTGCCACGCCCACCTTGCAGTGGTCAACAATAACCCAAAATGTTGCAGAGCTCAACTTAAATCTTGCAGTTCTGTAATAAATAGTTGTTTTGGTTGTTAGATTGAAAGTGAACAGCTAATTAATGCACACAGGTATATATTAACTATCTAATATACTATAGGAATAGCCGTGTGTGTGTGTGTGTGTGTGTGTGTGTGTGTGTGTGTGTGTGTGTGTCTGTTCTGGGCAGCCGAAACGGCACAATCATTTTTCATCAAACTTGGTGGAAAAATCGCAAAGAAATTCGTAGAGTGGAACAAACCTGGTCCCATGTCGATGGTTTCTTTAGGAAGGCATTAGTTAACAATTTTATTTACGATGGAAAACGATGCAAGTCTAAGGACTTGGCGCACCATAATTAACCATGCAAGTCTACGGACTTGGCACACCCTCATTCGCTGTACGCTGTCACGAGCGTTCAAACTCTCACAAGAGCACGAACGTGCCCGCGATCACTTGTTTGTAGACTAGAGCTTTACACTACTACTACTGCTACTACTACTACTTTTTTTTTTTTTTCTACTAAGTGGCCTCCAGCCTCCCCCAATAGCCACACCTTCGCCACCATTTATTTACCTTAATATTAAATATCCTAATACATAAGAAGCTATCCTATCTGTGTTAAATTAGTTGAGCCGCAGATCTATGTGGCATTCAGTGACTGTAGCCTCATAGTCAATATCTGCAGCAGTTGTTTGAGTAGGGGCGGAAGCTCTCGTTCCCCTGAGGCAGAGCAAAGCCGACCGAAGGAGAGAGAAGGACAGTCGGCATCTCATCCAGGCTGTAACATAACTTCTGGGCTGCTGCTTCTGTTCGGAGATCAGCTCCGCGAGTCTGGCGTAGAAACATCTTGCACTTGGGCCCATCCCACCCGAGGTTGTGAACACTAGAGGAGTGAAGCTGCCTTGATCAACATTTTGTATTCTCTCCCCGTATGCCCTTCTCTTGTCGTTCTCGTTCCTCCTATGCCCAGCATCGACTACTACTACTACTACTACTACTACTACTAATAATAATAATAATAATAATAATAATAATAATAACTTCCTTACGTGAATTATTCAGGTGCAAATTTACCTTAACGTAATGATATGAAACTGAGGTATTGTAATCATGGCAGATTTGATAATATGATGTATTGGGAAACGATCATATACTGTAGTTAGGAGAGTTAGGGTAGTTAGGAGAGAGAGAGAGAGAGAAAGAGAAAGAGAGAGAATACATTAAAAGAGCTACCCTATGATCTACATATTGCAATTGAAATATACTTGCAATGTGATCCTTCGTTCAGCTCCCCCTTTAAACGTTGCACAAAGAACGTTTTCTGTGTTGTAGGTTATTGCTCCGTGCTCCAGTTACTTGATCAGCTTACTTACAGGTCACTTTTTGCTGACTCCACGTCCTTGAGGGCCAAGTGGGCGGAGCTACTCATCCCAGTCATCTGATTCGTCCAGTGTTGAAAGTGGGAGGGGCTTTATATTATACCTCCTATACCGAAAGAATATTTATATATGATAAATCTTCTTATATATGAATTTTATAATATTACAGAAGAGATATTTTCAGTGTCCCTATATAAATTGAATAAGAAACCAAAGAATTTTATAAACTATCTTAATTATCTCAACATGGGCAATCCCAAAGCAGGCCAGGAAATGATACGGAAGTGCGTGGTGGCTGTACGAACATCCTTGCCTCTAGCGACCCCCCCAGCGACCCCCCCCCCCCCACATATTAGTACTATGTTGAGTTACCTAAAATATGCTTTAAGAATTTCATCGTTGACTGGAAATTGAAGGTCGAGATTTTTCGTGGTATTTACATGTTGAGTCGAGAGGGTCAGTAGCTTATTGTGTGCTCTGAAGGTTTTTACACTGAGTTATGTTCTATGCCACACGCACACACACACACACCTGGTTCACCTGTAATGTAGAGATTAGACACCCAAGCATATTTCACCTGACGATTAAACTCCCGAATTCTACCTGGAGTTTAGTTAGATTAGGATAGGTTAAGTTTGGTTAGATTACTTTGGGTTGGATTAGGATAGGGTGAGGGTGTTTAATCAGGTGAAATAAGCTAGGATGCCCGATCTTCAAGTGAACCATGAAAAGATATTCAGTTGTAATGGATGACATAATAACTTGGGTAAAATATGTTAGTTCAGGTCAAAGTAACCTTCCAGTGCCACCTTTAAGTAAGGTTGAAAGTAAGTGAGTAAGGTTCGTGTTGATTTATGTAACGTAACTTTCTCTCTCTCTCTATCTCCCCTTCAGTTGGTCAGTATTTGGTAACCTGTGAAACTTTCTTGGCAGTAACGTAATACTTGGGCGTTGCTGACCTTTGACAATTTGGTTCCCCTTGTTGAATGATATCCAGACGTCATACTGATTATACGTGTACAGTAGCCAGCACCAGAATGACGGGCAGTAATTCACGGATAACCACAGAAACTGGTCGACGTACTGCAAATTAAAGATCGATAATGATTGCTCATGTAAAATTAAGATAATCAAACCATGACCCTTTATGCTTATAAGAAATTACACGAGGTAGTATCATAATTTGAATGTGGATATGATAAGAAATAATGTAAAATTATTTATAACGAAACATTCATAGAAAGCCATACCTCGTTTACAGTCATCACTCAGGTAACAGCTCAGGTAGCTTCCTCTAACTCAAAAGACTCGTATGAGTTAGTATACACGAGCCTCACCCTCGTACTTGACCTCGGACACTTAGCCTGAGTCACAGTCCACGTAGTAAGTCAGTCTGCAGACGACCGTCGGGAAACTGCACGGTGTACGACCCTTTAGTGTTGTAGTGAAGGTTCCTGACGCTGTCACTCTTACACCTCCAGAGCCAACATTTTCTCTTGTATTTACCAAGTTTATTTATGCCTTAAAAGTCAGAGCTACTTTTCAAGTTATATTTCAAGACAGTGAACACTTGTCGGTGTGGAAATATTATACACAGCTTTGAGAACATCATGGAACAACTGGAAACGACCCCGAAAGAGGACCTAACACGAACCAAAATGTGTCCATATAAATATAACCAAATGTTTTTCCAAGATTAACTAATGTAAACTGTGTTGATGGACGACATGTGAGGATATATAAACATGCGTCGGTGAGAGAGAGAGAGAGAGAGAGAGAGAGAGAGAGAGAGAGAGTACGAACAAATTTACACCAATAACAAACTTTACCTTTAACACGTCCTTGTACGTGTGGCTGAATTATTACGATGACTCCAGCCTGTTTACTGTACATGAATCCAAGACACACGTAAATAAGCCAACATCTCAAGTTACTTTATGTCACAACCCTTCACATAACTCTTGGTCTGTGGTACATAGTCGATCCTTAATGTTCCTTCTTCCATGTCTTGAAACTATCTGGATTATACAAATATATTACCACAAACATTTCATTTACAAGGTACAGTAAAATTCGTGTATGTTTACCAGAAAGATTTAAGATTGATCAACTTATAAGTAACAATAACAACCCAAATGAATTAAGACAAGAGAAAAATATATAACATACAAATAATTACGTCTTAATAATTTCTCTCTGTTCTTCGCCAACTTCACGGGGCGTCACCTGATCTATATGAAACAATTATAATGTTTCGAAAATTTCTCAGTTATGTCATTACTTCATATTTTGTTGACATTCTCTTCGTGAATCACATTACTTCAAGAACTGTTGTCAATACAAAGTGTTTTACATCTTTTCGGATATTACGTTGTTTACCTTATCTCCGCCACCCAACTTTCAGGTTCAAAGTGTTAGCTAACGTGTATAAGAACTTGTCTTACAGTGATCCAGGTCTGGCGCTGTGGTATATAATGAACAGTGGCCAAGGGATGGGCAGTCAGTTCCTTGTGACAACACAACACACAACATGAACACTAAGGTATATAAATATATATATATATACAGTATATATATATATATATATATATATATTGAAATATTTGATTGCGAGTCACTAATTAATGTTTTTTGATACTTACAAAACTTTTTTTTCAAGATCTTGATCGTCTTGGCCGTGGCAGCCCTGGCAGCAGCAGACAGCCACAGCCGGGAAACCTTCTCTTACGCTGCCCCTTATGTGAGTCATGCTCGTTCAATGAGTCACAGTGTTAACTTATCTATTACACAACTTTGATCCAACACGTAACACTAAACAGTACAGTCTGGTGCTATTTCAGTTTTGGTAATATAATAGGAAGAAGATATTTATGAAGGTTACAATACAAGACTTTACAGAGAAGTATTAAAATTTAATTAAGGCAGAAGTGTGTACAGTATGTTTGTAATACGGTGATTCATTTTGTAATTTTTTCTTACTGAAGGATTCTTCCGAGGAGTCTTATGAGTCTAGTGAGGCTCAGTACAACTTCAACTATGCCGTGGACCACGAGCCCTCTGGCAACGACTTCGGTCACCAGGAGACCCGCGACCATGACGACACCCAGGGGTTGTACTACGTGCAGCTTCCCGACGGCCGTCGTCAGACTGTGAATTACAACGTGGAAGGTGACTCAGGCTACCTGGCTGATGTCAAGTACGACGGAGAGGCTCGCTACCCTGACTCATACGAGTCCTTCGAGTCCTTCGAGTCCCGGGAGGCTCCACGCTACTACGACTCCAACGAGTCCAAGTAGATAAATCTACCTGACCAGTTACCTGACGGATCATTCTCCCTCGACCAAGTCTACTCCTACTTGAAATGTTTCATACATCATACATGTTGTATTGTATACCCAGCCATAAATTATCAAGGCCTTTATTTATTTACAAAGATAACTAATAAATTATTACTGATGGAAACACAGCAATATTCTTATGGATTCCTTTGGTTTACTGTATATAGAGGTATCACATGAAAAAAAATGCTTTAATTTACTCTTCATATACATGCATATGATTTACCTTTGGGAAGGTATAATTACCTTCACCAGGAGGAAATATTGATAAAGCACTAAATGGAAGATTCCCTCACTTGTTTCCTTAAGTCTACACGCCTACCTGGTTATAACAAACACCTGTCATGTTCCTTATCTCACCTGTGCATTTAGTAGATTGTTTTCCTCTTATTTTTTTATTCTTCTTCGTGGGGTTCAACAAAGGGTGTTCCAAGACTCTGTTTATCTGCTTCTCCTCATATTACCTCACATACCCAACAGGTCACAAGCATGCATGTGTGTCTCTGAACTTGCTGAAGAAGATTACAATTCCATCAGTTTCTTTAGCGCGACGAAAATACATATACAAAAAGTAAATAAGGATGACATTCAGGCAAATTACATAATAGGTGAACATTATACACTGAAATACGTAATGTTGTGAAGTTATTTTGATATAACTGTTTCAAGGGATAACATTCGAGAGGAAAATAACTCAATCAGTTAACAATAAATAAACAAGAAAGACAGATATGTAAAGGTGACGTTACTACTGGGAACAATACGTTATCAAATCATCTTCATAGTGTTGTGTGTAAAGGTAATGTATTGTTTGGGAGGATATAGTCTTCGGGGAATATTAAAACTGACCCACTTAGGAAGTTGAGTGAACAAAACTCTTGTAGCAAAAAATTCACCTTTAACCTAAATGAAGAGAAAAGTAACAACTTCAAAATTTGTTGTTTATGTAAATCTTATATCTGAGACATAGTAGCATCGTAAGTATATAAAATTAAAGTCCACTATTATGTCAGTTGTAAATCAAATTTACATATAAGCTCACTATTATATCAGTTGTAAATCTAATTTACATGTATAAAGTGGGAAAAAGTTTTGGGTCATTCGAGAAGGAAGACTTCATAAAAGTATATTGAATGTAGAATAACTTAGCTACATAAGCAATAACAGACAATATTGACATGTTATATGAGCCCATAAAAGTAAAACACATTAGACACTGTTGGGCTCACCTGTACAGTTGGTGTCACACACACTAGTACTGCAGTCGCTGTAGTATGCAGGTGTGGCTGGGAGCACTCGTGTGAGTCAAGATACTGAGCCTCATCTTCGGATTTGACCTCGGCCACGTAGCTTGAGTCACCCTCCAAGTAGTAAGTCACAGTCTGGAGACGACCGTCGGGAAGCTGCACGTAGTACAACCCCTTGGTGTTGTCACCATCACGAGTCTCCTGGTGACCGAAATCGTTGCCAGAGGAGTTGTGATGAGCCTCACTCGACTCATAAGACTCCACTGACTAACCCTTCAAAATTAAAAAAAAAAAATCCCGATATGTAGAATCGCAAGAAATATTCACTAAAAACAAACCTTCTTAAACTGAGGGCCCTTCAACACACTTACAGTTCTTTCATTCGTGGTAAAGACCATTGACCATCGATCTGTCTTACGCTTTCAGAAAACTCCTTTGTAACGCATACACATTATTTATTGTTAACTCGTCTTAAGCCAAGAAATGCTAGAAATCCCTAATTCAAATCACTCATATTTTCATCAGGCAATATGTTTTATACACAATAAAAACAATAACTTACCTGGAACGATTTCAGATTTAACTATAAATGAGGAGAAACAGCATCAAAATGGTGTTGAAAAGAAGAAAATTGTTATAGAAAAATATTAGAAATGTATCAATATCATATAAATGAACATCGTACGCAGCGGTTGTCTACGATATAAAGTTCTCTTTCGATTGTTTCCTTTAAGGGAAAAGTTATACATTGTTTTCCTTCCTAAATTAACAGGATAAGTTGGCTCAGTATGACGAGAGACACGGCCACCCACATCCCTCTGTTCTTCGGTTGTAGAACAGTACACATATGTTGTCATCCGTCACCTGTTATCACACATATTATGTTATTATGGTGACATCCTCCTCAATAATATACAGTGTTATTCATTCACAGATTACCAACATAAACTGTCCTACATTAAAATAAACAATGAAATTTTCACCCCTTACACTATCCAGCTTGAAGGTTCAATAAGTGAGCTAACATGTGTAAAAACTTAGCTCTCAGTGATCCAGGTCTGGCGCTGTGGTATATAATGAACGCAGCAGAGGGATGGGCAGTCAGTTCCTTGTGACAACACAACTCTCAACATGAACACTAAGGTCATTATAACCTTATGTTTAATGTGTGTGTGTGTGTGTCTGAGGATTTTGTTTGTGTGTGTGTGTGTTTATAAATAACAATTTCATTATCAGATACAAATTAATTTTTCTTTCATTTTCAAAATTAATTTTGTTTGCCCTTCAAGATCTTGATCGTCTTGGCCGTGGCAGCTCTGGCAGCAGCAGACAGCCGCAGCCGGGAAACCTTCTCTTACGCTGCCCCTCGTGTGAGTCGAGCACGTTCACCGAGTCACACTCATAATTTATCCATAATAAATCTTCACTGAATTCAAACGTATAAGGGTAAAAAAATCTATAAAAAGAAACACAAAAAGTTTAAGGATTCTCTGCTTCAGGAAATACATCATTAGATACATGAATTTTCTTCTGTATCTTTGTTTTCAATACTGAATTATTGTATTTACAATAAACGACAGAAATGAGGAAAATATTGTTATGGTGGTTAGAACTTAAGTTTCAGAGAATTACTACAAAATTATTCTTGTACTTACATTTTGTTGCAGTAATATTGTGCTAGAGGTGAACGTGTACAGTACAGGGTTTTGTATTTATTATGATTTTTTCTTACTAAAGGATTCCTCTGAGGAGTCGTATGAGTCTAGTGAGGCTCAGTACAACTTCAACTATGCCGTGGACCACGAGCCCTCTGGCAACGACTTCGGTCACCAGGAGACCCGCGACCATGACGACACCCAGGGGTTGTACTACGTGCAGCTTCCCGACGGCCGTCGTCAGACTGTGGCTTACAACGTGGAAGGTGACTCAGGCTACCTGGCTGAGGTCAAGTACGACGGAGAGGCTCGCTACCCTGACTCATACGAGTCCTTCGAGTCCTTCGAGTCCCGGGAGACTCCCCGTTACTATGACTCCAACGAGTCCAAGTAGATAAATCTACCTGACCAGTTACCTGACGGATCATTCTCCCTCGACCAAGTCTACTCCTACCTGAAATGTTTCATACATCATACATGTTGTATTGTATACCCAGCCATAAATTATCAAGGCCTTTATTTATTTACAAAGATAACTAATAAATTATTACTGATGGAAACACAGCAATATTCTTATGGATTCCTTTTGAGTACTTTATGTATAGCTGATACTGTTGACACAAAATGGAGCAAACAAAATCTTTACTGTATACAGTATATGAATACATAATTTTATCTCCATCATTGCCAATATTCATCCACTAGTGTGTGATAGACCCTTCAGATGCTACAGTAAGTGCACAGGACAATAAGTACCAGCATTGTTCCTCCTTCCATCTATAAACCTATTAAAGGGTTTCTTCTTGGTCTTATCTTACCGTAGGGTCCAGTAGCGGGTGTCCTTAATAGCGTTTTACTTCTTACCAATAACTGTTGTGTTGACTTCAGTTACCTAAGAAGATGTACGTCAAGAGATATCGGATTCTGTTACGTTCGTCTTCAATCCAAACCAATATTTGCCTTGATTTGGTATAGGTGTTACAGATTAAGTTGTCCAATATTAAAATATTTTAATTTATCAATGACACGGTAGATTATATAACTTAGACGTGTTTTATTAAGGTGTTGTGACTTAGTGGACTATTAACACAAAAACAATACTTAATAATATAAACATTCAAACTTTAACCCAACACTCAAATACTTCGCCATAGGATTTGTAGTTCAGGTTTCTACTCCAGGTGGGAAGACAAGAATGATTCTCTCCATCTAACGTCCATCCCCAGGCCTCAAGGGTGAGTCTGTACTGGTATACTGAGAGGCTGCCAGTCAAGACCAGACCCCAGTGAGTTACATCTTCTGGCTTGTAAATGAACATCATAGACAGGCGGAATATATCCAGAACCTTAATTCCTGGAAACAGTAACTCTTCTTATTATAGACGACAACTACATAGTGTTAAGGAAGAATTAATGTTTATCCAAGTCCATGATCGCTGTGTCACCTCGGGGCAAAAGTTCAATGTATACAGCACCATCTTTTCCTCTCTAAAGAAAAAACCGAGTTATAACTATCGACAAAAAAGCCGATTTATAATTACAGATTGGAAACGCTAAGAGGATACAGAACCTGGTCAATGGGGATAATATTAACTTACAGAAATTAATATGAACTGGTATAAAAATAGACTAAATAATATCTAAAGTCATGTAACAAATAGTATATAACTGAACATCCTGCCGCCGTAAAGATGTTTATTACTTAATGCTGTATCACCCGTCTTACCTCAACCAAGGCTGCCACGTCCAACACCATTAAAGTCATGAAGTAGAAAACTAAGACACTAACATTACATAGTAACAATGAGCGTCATCTGGTAATACTTTATACACTTAGAAATCATTATGGACGATATCCCTAGTGATGAGAATATTCTACCTCACTGAAATGACCAGTTGAGTACCTCCGTCAACGATGATTCAAGAGATTTACTGTTCAAAAAAGTTAACTTGAAGCTCTGGTCTGTTTACTCTTTTTGAACGCTATATGTAACATGTCGCCGTGTTCAATGTTCTCCTCTGATAAAACAAATGACTTGTTGTTAATATCACTTAAGCCAGAGATATAAATTACGAAATCTATGATCTAAGGACGATCAAATTAACAAATATTTTTTTTTTTCAGATTCATTGATAAATTAGTAAAAATAACATAAAAACTTTAGTAGACCATTGTACTCCAATAAAGTAAGATTTACATCACTAACATATTAAACAAAATCC